CACCCCACCGCTGGCCGAGCCAGGCCAGGCCTCCAGGGGCTCCGGAAGATCTAGGTCCTTGCTAGGGCTTGCCTCCGGGTCTTTCTCCAACAGGTCTGTGAGTGTCTGGCTCTCAGGTGTCCCGTTCACTCCCTGCAGGGGGCTCGCCAGGGTCTTGGGCTTCTTGGGCACGGACCTGAGGGCATGGGAGCAAAGGCAGCAGTTCCGGTCAGTGATGTGGTCACCTGCCGCTGGAGCTGCCCACACATCCTAGGATCCCAGCGCTCCCCCCAACAGCTCAGCACCCCAGCAGCTCCTGGGGCGCTGTGGCAGAGTGGTATGGTACCGGGAACTGGAGCCCCTCCTCTTCCGCTTGCCAATCCTGCCCTCCAGGGGCTGGGCGCCAGTGTCCAGGTTCAGCTGCCTCTCGTACGGGGAGGGGATGAAGCTGTGGGAAGAGAAGGCAGGGCGAGAGCAGGTCCTTACGTCTGGTGCTCCCCCAGGTACGGGGTTGGGGGGCTAGTTAAGAGGACACGTGGGACATGGGCCCCAGCGGGGCTCTAGGCAAGGTGCCTGGGAGACAGCCGCAGGCCTCTTGAAACACAGTGCTTCCCAGGAATCAGTCACCTCGAGGGCAATAGGTTTTCAAACCAAGAAGTGACTGATCTCGGTGAGGGAAAGCAAGAGGCGCCAAAAACTTGGCAAATGCAAGAAAGATGGAAATAAGGTTCCAGACAGCCACTGCTAACATTTTTGTTACACACACACACACACTCCATATTTTATTTCCCTGACACAAATGACATCGTTCTGTGAGTCTGGGTGGCTAGCTGCTGTGGAGTCAATACCCACTTACACTCAGGGGAACTCAGGGGTGCAGGTTGGTTGCTCTTCCAAGTACTTCTGTGTGGATTCGGATCCCCAAGCTTTGGGCTAGTAGTTGAGTGCTTCACCATTTGTGCCACTCAGGGAACTACTCTGAGATCCTCCCTCCCCTCCAACAGTATAAACGCGGCCCCTCATCACCATAGCGGAGGAGCCCTGGTAGTGTAGTGGTTTCATGTTGGCTGAGATTCGAGAGGTCAGCAGTTGAACACCACCAGCCGCCCCTTGGGAGAAAGCCTGGGCCTT